CCAGCCTTCACCTCAACCACCAGCTTTTCCCAGAAAAAGCATAAAACCCTCTCGGCGGGAAAAGAGGATCAGCTGTATTTTAGATGCACCGTGTTTGAACATGGAGGGCATCGACAGAAACCAGAAGAGTCCTAAAGGTATGGATGATGAGGACGATGACTGCTTCAGGGACACGGTGCTTCCTGGCGGTCAGATGACTGCACTTTTACGTAAGGAGGCTCAGACGGCAGACAGGGACGAGAGCCTAACTGCTTCGATCAGCCTCAGCTCTGTAGATACTCTCACACCCAATGAGCTGAGGGCCATTTCTCTGATTGGAAGCCCTGTTGAGTTGACAACTTTCAAACCAATTCATGCTCCTCAAGCTGTTCTTCTATCCAGGAGAAGAGCGTCTCGTCTGCCTGTGTTTTCTGCCAAACTCAGTGGAGCAGGTCAGTTCCTTTAAAGACAAACTGGTGAATGGGGATGTCTTTATTTTGTGGGAACCTCTGCTGTTCCTTCTGCAGGTCTTTTAAGTGTCTGTTGGAGTCACAAAGCATTGGAATATTTTGCTCAAACCTTTGGATACAACACTTGTATTTCAAAGTGCAGTAGAACTTAATGTGAAGTCTATATTGCCGTTAATCCCAACAGACAAGGAAGTCACTGATGGTTGTAGGCTCCAAACTGCTAAATATAAAGTTGAGGCTATTGTAACAAGACTGGAGCGCTTCCAGCTCAACTCTGTCCCTCCAGCTCGACCACAAGCCACTGCCAAGAGGAACCCTGAGGTGGCCCCAACCCTTCCAAGAGTTCGCCAAACCACAACAAGGGGATCTCGACCCGGGATGTTCCTTCCCCGTGCAAAGGTCAGTGGAGAAGGTAAGTTCTTCCATACACATCCTGAATAATTCTAGTACAACCTGTGAACTTTCATTCATGAGTTTCTTAAACTCTTTTGTAAAAAGTTATAGTACCTACACTAAGTGCAATGCTTTGAGTGAGAAGAAAGGAGAGTAAACAGTATTTTACTGTTTACCAGGCAAGAAGACAGCCAGTGACTGCAGCATCCAGACTCCAAATGATAGAAAGGTTGAGCTGCAGCCGTTGACCAACCCTGTGGAGAGCCTGTCTCTCTGCTTCAGGCTGCTCTCCTCAGACGACTGGTAAGACACTGACTCTAGAATACTTGAGTTAGGGCGCTACGTTGCAACTAGTTAGTTTGACATTAACTTCAATACACTCTGCCGAAAGCTATTGCTCTTTATTGAGAGGCCAGTAAATATTGAGCTGTAACTTTTAGCAGTTGATACAACATGTTAGTATAGAATAGAATTAAAAGGAAAAAAAACGTAATTATAGTTGTTGTATATTTTGTAATAACACAATTATTGTTGTTGCTGCAGCAATGTACAGTGCGATTTATTTTGTCACATAAATTCACAGGGTGAAGAAAATAGACGGCTTGAAAACCATGCAAGCTCTGGCACAGCACCACTCAGAGACCCTGAAGACCAAACTCCATGAAGTGTGTTTGGTTCTCATTGAGGAGGTATTGTACAAACTTTCCTTTTTGTATCTTAATATCCATCTTTGTGTTTAATGCATTTTCATTTGCCTACACGTGTCTATGAGTGTGCATACTGCGTTCTTGACTGATGATGTTTGTTCTTACTATACAGGTGAAAAACTTGCGCTCCACGGTGTCATGTGCAGCTATGAACACTTTAGCTGAGCTATACGTTCAGCTCCAGAAAGCCATGGACCCGGAGGCAGAGGGAACAGGCCGAGCCCTGCTGTTGAAACTGGCACAGACTAGAAACGCCTTTATTCAACAGCAGGCCAATCTTGCACTAGATGCCATGGTGCAAAGCTGCAGCCATGGTCGGATCGTGAACGCTCTGTTGAACACAGGGCTGAGGTGAGAGGAGAGAAGAGGGTGCTTTCACTTTATCGGCACAAGCATTCATATCAAATAAAGTGAAATGAAACATGGACTGTGGATTTGTTTGCCTCATATTCCGTTTTTTTTCCTTCCTCAGTCACCGTTGTGTTGCTTTAAGAGGGAGCATGGCACAACACCTGCACCTGCTGGCCAACGGCCTTGGAGCAGCTCGCATCTTGACAGCAGGAAGGAGCTTCACTGAGCGCTTCCTTACTGCTGTCTCGAAAATCTCTGTGGATGCTGCACCAGAAGTAAGGTGGGTTATCAAGTTTTAGTTAGTGTACAATTTCTCACTTGCTTGTGTCTTGTAATTTGTGGCTCTTGTTTGTTTGCTGAGTGAGTGTTACCATCAATATTGAACATTGTGCTAAATAAGAAACGTATTCGGCAACAGGCACCATGGAAAAGTTATCCTCCAGGAACTGGCCCTCCATAAGGACTTCCTGAGCCTGTGGACAAAGATCATTCCAGAAAAAGAAAGACGTTCACTAGACAAAATCTTAAAGAAGGCCAAGAAGTAAAAATGGAGGATATCTGCAGTATTTTAGTGTAACTGTTATCGTTGATAAATGTTTCATTAACAAATGTACCTTTTAAAAAAAAAAGTTTTTGGAAGATGCTTCATGAGTTGGCTTAAAAACAACAGCACAAATCACACACACACACACACACACACACACCAAATTTACATGTCTACATCTTTAACAGGATGTTTACCTTGTAGGAATGTGTATTACCAAGAGTCACAATCCTTTATGTTTATACTTAAAGGGGCTATATGTAAGTTTTTGATTTTAATAAATCAAATTTTCATTGCCTAATTGTCAATGGGCCCAAAACTCACTCAGAAATGAAGCATACGCCTGTTTTCTCTGTTGCTTGCATCAGTCACTATTCTGCTTTTAATGTGAGGTCTCCGGGTCGGATTCAGCCCTGCAGTCCACTAACACCATCAAACAACCGGCTCACAGCAAAACATAGGCTCCACATAAGGATACAAGACAACAATAAAGGTTCATGTGCTGAAGCCCATCAGACCAAACAGGTTCAGATGATGTCGAGTAAGAACAAAGTGAGCATTAGAAAAGCTGGAGAAACACGGAGAAAGTCACGTTAGCTCGCCGGCTAACGCTGAGCAGTTGCTAATGTTATCCAGTGCAAAGTTGTATCGCTTTCCATATTACTTCACCAGCTAACGCGACCCATGTTACTATCCTGTATACCATTGGTATTATGTCAAAGTGTCAAAGCCTGCAAGAAATTATGTAATGGTAAAAAGTAAATGTGGAGCGATTTGTTTACTATCATATAGTGATGCAGCCAGTTAACGCTACATTGCTACATTAAACAAGCCGCTGTTTGCTTCATTACGTTCAATTTAGATTTATTGCCTTTTACCAATACTCAGGTACACAGCTTCTCCACCTCTCAGTCGCTGTAACTAACATGATCCACATAATATACAACCCAAAGGAAGAGCCATCCACTGACACTACAGTAAATTTACTTACTGCAGTCTAACTGTTAAAAAGTGTGACACAATCTCGTTATTATATTTAGTCCAGCCCACTAACAGTTTAATTATTATCCAATATATGTAGCTGTGCTGACATTGCTGAGCATCCGATGAAAGATACACAGATAATAAAGTTAGTTACTGAAAGCAGGAGGTGAGCTAACACTGTAGCACGTTGGCTAAATGCAGTAAATGTACCGTTATCATGTAACGAGCATGGATTAGTTCAACATTGAGCTGATAAAAATATTACTGTAACGTTGCAGTGGGAGTTTACCTGAGTTTCCACCATGTCGTGTGAAGCAGTCTCCCTGCCTGTCTATAGCTGCTGTCACTCTGCCTTTTTTCGGGAGTACTGTGCCAATATGCCAGTGTCTCGCTGCACTGAATGAAAGGTATGGCGCCGGTGTTGAGTTGTCTCTGAGACAGGAACGTTGAAGTAACAGAGCCTGAACATGTCTGTGTTAAAAGCAACAGCCTGCATACAGGTGTTTCTTCGTTTATTGCAGGATTTCTGTGTGAAAGTGGTTGTGTTTTGGATTATGCTCACTCATGTGTTCAAGCGAGCACGCGTACGAGCACATGCCTGATTGCAATCTTAAAACCGCACCGCTAGTGGCCGCTGAAAACTACATAATGCCCCTTTAGCCCTCTTTTTTAAATGTAGCTTGGGTAGCTTGGATAACTACTAATGATTTAACAGAACTCAGGAAAGTGGGACAGAATTTAAATTTAACATGGATGCATGTGAATGTTGAAAATTAAATGACAAAAAGTTGCTGATGAAAATGCAAAACCAAAACATTTGACAGGAAAATACCCCACTGATAAATATATGGCTATAGCTCCTTTGTGGTGCAGATAGAGACTTTTGTGTAAGTGTAATATGATCAATTGTATGATTATTAAAAAACATTTAATGTGAAATTATTTAGGTGAGGTTAGGAAATAATAAAAATATATATTTCAGCTACATAAAGATGCATTTACTTATGGGTCCCAGGATCGGATGCTGCAGGGTCTGAAGCTGCAGTTACATCTCCAAGACAGTTAATATTGAAATACAGTCTAATGATGTAGTATAGATTATAGACAAGCTATCTAAAATAACGTTTCAGACCAGACTTGAGAGAAAAGGAAAGAAAAATAAAACATAATCATGGCAAAATTACAAAACAGGACAGTAAACCAGCTAATGATTGTGATGAATTTCAAGAATTTGTGTAGGGACTAGGAGGATGGGGACATAATTATAGAACCCCTGTTGTCCTGGTGTCCGGTCAATGTGGGCCTGTTTGGTTTAGCTCTTGTTCTGGAACTACAAGTCCAATACGTTTTTTAAGTTTTTAAAATTTTTAGTGACTTTATTTCTCCCGCTGGGAGATCCTTTTTATTGTCCCCACCTACAAATATCTAAATATCCGCGCCATGTATTATTTTTATATTTATTGGGTAAAACCTTGGAGAAGGACTTGGAGAAGCTAATTAACTCCAGAAGATGGCAGTAATGCAACAATAAGAGCGCCAGTCGCTGTAAAAACCTGATGGAAGAAGAAGAGGAGGAGGAAGAAGGTCTCTTCAAATCCTGTCCAAAGGATCTGAATCGCATTGCCAGGCAGTGGCTACGTGCTCTTAACGGGACGGCACAATGGAGTTTCTTTCCCATAATAATCTAAAGAAGGAGCTTTTCTGCGCGCTTTGCGCAGCTCTCCTCCTCCTCACCAGAGTCACATCTGCAGAGGAAGGCGACTATGTGAAAAATTCCCAATGTCACAACTACGCGGGAGGACACGTCTATCCTGGAGAGGCTTCCCGGGTGCCTGTGTCTGACCATTCCCTGCACCTCAGCAAAGCCAAGAGTGAGTTCCTCTCATGATTTCAGACATAGGTGGCAAGTTATTTGCATAATCGAAAGTGCGCAGTGATTTGCTTTTCTTCCAATTGCTGACAAACACAGCGGCAGCTGCAGCTCCAGCATGGTGCTCCTGCTGTCAGGACAATAGAAACAACCTGACGGCGTGTGTCTGCGGCTTGTGTTCATTTGTTTGGCTCTGTCTTATGGGTTAATGCTCTTATGAGAGTTTAAGAAGTTCGTAAACTTTTAATCAGATGGTGGTAGGACACGTCATTCTATGAAATGCATCTCTGTTCCTCCCTCCGCCCCTTCGACACATGACGGTGTATGGCCCCGCGCCAACACCGCTCATAATAAGACCAGAGGGTTTTACAAAATAACAGCAACACTTGGACATCCATTAAAGTCGCGTCGTCATGTTTGAGCGACTATAATATGCAGTCTTGTAAGCAAATGCAGGTGTTTTACTTCCTCCTCACTAATACAGTTTTTTTCTCAGTCATGTGTCATGACTTTTGAGACTTTACCCCATGTCACTTTACCAGTGTTTGTGCACCAGACATGAGCATAGTACTTGTTCCACTTGCTTTATGTTGCCCATTGTAATTGAGACAAAGATTTCTAAATGATGGAATGCATACAATGCCAGAAGGAAAGCCTAAAAATGACATATTATGTCAGATGTATCACCACACCACAATTGCACACTGTGCAGTGAAATGCTTTATGATCACCATAGTGTGTAATAAAATAGAGTAAACCAATGCAAATACTTCAAAATAGAAAGAGCAAAAATAATTCATACGAGCAAAAGTGTGCTGTACAAGTAAGTCATTAAAAAGGATATGGACATAGAGGTAACGTATCTCTGAGAATGATGCTGTACAGTTTAGATAAATACACTTAACCTTATGGCCGCCTAAACATACATTAGAGTAAAATCACCCCCTCTAAAAGTGTAAAAATAGTATGTAGAGTATGATAGTCTTAATGTTCTATTTAAAGGCTAATGTACTGCTGTAATCTCTCTTTTTTTTCCTGCACGTTTTTGCCAGAATACATGACATTTGGTTATTTGCAGAAAACAAAAAAAAAGAGTCCTGGTTTTACCAATCCATGTATTTTTCTTCCTACTCAAGTTTCAAAGCCTGCACCACACTGGGAAGGAACAGCTGTCATTAACGGTGAATTCAAGGAGGCGAAGCTGTCGGACTACAGAGGAAAATATCTTGTCTTCTTCTTCTATCCACTGGACTTGTGAGTAACATCAGAGACACACATTACATCATCACTTTATTTGTTTTGCCAGGCTTGCTGCAAAACAGAGTATATTCTTATGTAAATGTATTTGTTATTGTTTTTTGCAGCACATTTGTCTGCCCCACTGAGATCATTGCATTCAGCGATCGTGTGCATGAGTTCCGTGCCATTAACACAGAGGTGGTCGCTTGCTCTGTCGACTCCCAGTTCACCCACCTGGCCTGGTAAGATTGCTGTCAACATTGCAATCACAAAATGCTGTCAGATTTTAAAGACTATAATAAACGCTATTGTAGACTGAAGTGGGAAAAACAATCCAAATACGTTGGCAATTTTAATAAATACATTTTTCAGGTGGTTCAAGAAGGGGAGTGGGTGCTTTTTAAAAATGTTTTGCCCTCATTGACTTTATCTTTTTGTTCGCCAGAAAGTCCTTTATCTAAACTACACACTCAGAACATCGCTTTTTTTTTTTTTTTTTTTCCCACATTTCTTGTTATTTTTAGGATCAATACGCCCAGGAAGCAGGGAGGACTTGGACCAATGAAAATCCCTCTGTTGTCTGACCTCACTCACCAGATTTCAAAAGACTATGGAGTCTACTTGGAGGACCAAGGACACACACTGAGGTACAGTCTCACATTTACAGACGATCAACTTAAAGAAACATGTCCTATTATATATGCTAACACTGAGGTTGTTTAGGAGTGAACAAAATGTTATAAGAGCAGGTAAACTGTAGTTTGGGTGGGATCAGTGTGTCTTCCTGCAACACTTTAAAATATGAAACAAATCACAGTAGATGGTTCTACAATGTGGATGAATGAGCTTCATAACTGATATAAGTTAGAACTAACTAGGATTTTAACAACCACGGAGAAGTTAACTGTAAACAACTAACAGTAAGTCATGCTTGAATCTTTGGCAGGGGACTCTTCATCATCGACGACAAAGGCATTCTGAGGCAGATCACCATGAACGATCTTCCAGTAGGAAGATCAGTGGATGAGACTCTGCGGCTCGTGCAGGCCTTTCAGTACACTGACAAGCACGGAGAAGGTACGAAAAGCTCACTTATATTAAATTTCTTTCAAACTCATTCAGCAGTGTCTGGAAACAAATAGCTGGTTTCAGAGGATCTTGTGCTGATTGGAAATATGTGTCTTTTATTTTTTACAGTGTGTCCAGCAGGATGGAAGCCAGGCAGCGACACAGTGAGTATCACGGGCTGTGGCTGATTTGGATCCTTGGTCACTAAACTAGTGCAGGATAGAAGGTCTCAGATAGAGTTACCATATATTTACAAACCGGTCGGTGTGTGTCCAGGTAGTGCAAGAACAAATATTGGGGTTGTCTAAATGACAAGCTGTCTTAGTCTTTTTTTTACAAAACGAATAGCGTTTTATTTCAATTCAGTTTTATTTATATAGCGCAGTTCACAGTTCTCTCTGTGCGCTTTTCATAAAAGAGCAGGCCGAGACTGCACTCTCTGTGATGATAACAGTTCCCACCAAGAGCAAGCACTGGTCGATAGAGGCAAGGAAAAACTTCCTTTTAAGAGGCAGAAACCTCAGGGTGGGCGGCCATCTGCCTCGACCTATTATTTAGTTCACAAATAAGTTAAGAGTCTAAGTTAAGACTCTCACTGTGGGCTTTGCATGACAGTTTAGGTTGTGCCCTCATTGGAGGTTTAGTAATAAACTGCAGGTGCCATTGCTGGTAGCTACTTGTTTGTGAAAAATGCTTTATGTTCAACTTGGATACAAAATTGTGAGCAGGGATGTTCACTGAGCAATCACTCCTCTAAGTAAAATACTTCTTTTTAAACATAGGCCAGATTGTTTTCATCTGTGGGAAACTGAGTAATATTTGAGATACTAGTGGACTAGTTTGTTGTCAGGGATCTGCATTAGTCACAGCCTGGTTAATAGCATATATATATATATATATATATATATATATATATATATATATATATATATATATATATATATATATATATATATATATATATATATATATATATAAAAAGATATTTCTATTGTCCAGTGTATTTCTTGTTATCACACATTATCCACTAATTAAATTTTTTCCCCCACAGATTATTCCTGACCCTTCAGGCAAGCTTAAGTATTTTGATAAACTGAACTGATCTGCATTTCTGTCGTCCCAGTCCATAAAATCCACCTCATTCTGAAAGTTCAAATAAAATGTGTTTTCATAAAATGCTGTCTGCGTGTCTTCATCTAACAGTGACAACATGAAATGGCAGCTTTTGCTTAGTTCATACCTTGTTTTCCTAAGTGCAGAATGTTTCAAAGCCTGCACACTGGGAAACAACAGCTGTCATTGATGTGAATTCCCTCAGTGGCTGCCAGATGCTGACAAGCAACAACATATTAAAGAATCAAGAAAGTATGATCAGATATTATCATATTTGCTGTGCTAGTTATGGTGACTGCTTTGAATCTTGCTAGTATGCAAATGTGCGGTGAACACAGCAGATGACACAACTTGCAGTGGAAAAGTCCCAGGCTCTGCACATGCACGGTCAGTTAAAACAACTTTCCTTAAGCATTTACTCAAAGGATGGAGTTTGCTTTGGGATTACACTGAGAGCAAACTGCAATTTCTGGGTAAACAATGTATACTTAAATTTTAACATCAAGTTTGAAAGACAGCAATGTTTATCCATAAACCTAATAAAAGCTAACCACAGTTACCACCCAACAGTGACTAATATTTACATTTGAAGGATAATGTAATTAACATTATTTAGAGTTTTGCCACTTAAAGGGGCATTTTGGAGTGTTCAGCGGCCACTAGCAGTGCGGTTTAAGATTGCAACCAGGTGTGTGCTCGTACGCATGCTCGTGTGAACTCATGAGCGACCATAATCCGAGACACAACGGCTTTCATACAGAGATCCTGCAATAAACACAAACACCTGCATGCAGACTGTGGCTTTTCTCCAGACATGTTCTGGCTCTGTTACTTAAACTTTCCCGGATCAGAGGCAGATCAACCCTAGCACCATGCATTTCATTCAGCGCAGTGAACCACATATTGGCACAATACTCCCGGAAAAAAGGCAGTATGATAGCGTCCATGGACAGACAGGGAGACCGCTTCATACAACATGCTGGAAACTCAGGTAAACTCCCACTGCAGCGTTACAGTAATACACTGCTCAAAAAAATAAAGGGAACAGTTAAACAACACAATGTAACTCCAAGTCAATCACACTCCTGTGAAATCAAACTGTCCACTTAGGAAGCAACACTGATTGGCAATCAATTTCACATGCTGTTGTGCAAATGGAATAGACAACAGGTGGAAATTATAGGCAATTAGCAAGACACCCCCAATAAAGGAGTGGTTCTACAGGTGGTGACCACAGACCACTTCTCAGTTCCTGTGCTTCCTGGCTGATGTTTTGGTCACTTTGAATGCTGGCGGTGCTTTCACTCTAGTGGTAGCATGAGACGGAGTCTACAACCCACACAAGTTGCTCAGGTAGTGCAGCTCCTCCAGGATGGCACATCAATGCGAGCTGTGGCAAGAAGGTTTGCTGTGTCTGTTAGCGTAGTGTCCAGAGCATGGAGGCGCTACCAGGAGACAGGTCAGTACATCAGGAGACGTGGAGGAGGCCGTAGGAGGGCAACAACCCAGAAGCAGGACCGCTACCTCCGCATTTGTGCAAGGAGGAGCAGGAGGAGCACTGCCAGAGCCCTGCAAAATGACCTCCAGCAGGCCACAAATGTACATGTGTCTGCTCAAACGGTCAGAAACAGACTCCATGAGGGTGGTATGAGGGCCCGACGTCCACAGGTGGGGGTTGTGCTTACAGCCCAACACCGTGCAGGACGTTTGGCATTTGCCAGAGAACACCAAGATTGGAAAATTCGCCACTGGCGCCCTGTGCTCTTCACAGATGAAAGCAGGTTCACACTGAGCACATGTGACAGACGTGACGTGAGTCTGAAGACGCCGTGGAGAACGTTCTGCTGCCTGCAACATCCTCCAGCATGACCGGTTTAGCGTGGGTCAGTAATGGTGTGGGGTGGCATTTCTTTAGGGGCCGCACAGCCCTCCATGTGCTCGCCAGAGGTAGCCTGACTGCCATTAGGTACCGAGATGAGATCCTCAGACCCCTTGTGAGACCATATGCTGGTGCGGTTGGCCCTGGGTTCCTCCTAATGCAAGACAATGCTAGACCTCATGTGGCTGGAGTGTGTCAGCAGTTCCTGCAAGAGGAAGGCATTGATGCTATGGACTGGCCCGCCCGTTCCCCAGACCAGAATCCAATTGAGCACATCTGGGACATCATGTCTCGCTCCATCCACCAACGCCACGTTGCACCACAGACTGTCCAGGAGTTAGGTTAGGCTTTAGTCCAGGTCTGGGAGGAGATCCCTCAGGAGACCATCCGCCACCTCATACAGGCACGTGGAGGCCACACACACTACTGAGCCTCATTTTGACTTGTTTTAAGGACATTACATCAAAGTTGGATCGGCCCGTAGTGTGGTTTTCCACTTTGATTTTGAGTGTGACTCCAAATCCAGACCTCCATGGGTTGATAAATTTGATTTCCATTGATAATTTTTGTGTGATTTTGTTGTCAGCACATTCAACTATGTAAAGAAAGGAGTATTTAATGAGATTATTTCATTCATTCAGATCTAGGATGTTATTTTAGTGTTCCCTTTTAATTTTTTGAGCAGTGTAGTTTTATCAGCTTGAGGTTGAACTAATTCATGCTCGTTACATGAAAACGGTACATTTACTGTATTTAGCCGACATACTACATTGTTAGCTGGGCTGTCTACTTTTCAGTAACCAGGCAAACTTTGCTATCTGTGTATCTTTCACTGGAGGCTCAACAATGTGAGCACAGCTCAATGTATTGGATGATAACAAAACGGTTAGTGAGCTGGACTGAATATTATAAATGAGATTGTTGTCACAGTTGATTATGGAAGCCCTAAGCAGCCATTCACTAAAAAAAAATTTTAAACCGTTTTCCCGTGATAACGGGATGATTGTCTCGTGATCTTGAGATAACAACTGTTGTTTTCTTGTGATAACGGGTTCATTTTCTCGTGATTTCAAGATAACCAACCATTGTTGAATCAAGCTGGATGAGGGCGCAGGACAACCGAGCTGCCGTCACCCTGTATCCTGATGCCACATTCAGACCAAACGCGAATTTTCGCCTCGCGGCGCTTTCTTCGCGTGAGTAAATTTGCTGCAAGTGTTCACACACAACGCGAGAAGAAGAAGAAGAAGAACGCGATTTTAACGCGATAACGTGAATAAACACAACTCGCCATTACTACAGCTGTATGAACCCAAAGTAAACATTTTGCTGTGATTAAATAGCAATAAACGGATCAAACGGATGCCGAAATAACTACAATATGATGCAGTTTTGTTAAACATATGAATTCATGCTTTGTCAGGTCTGTCAGCAAGACAGCAACTTCTACAATGTTCTGAATTCTAAAAACTTCTGAATGGAGTTCAGATTGATCAGGGCTATGCTATGCTAACTTGGTCCCAGTAAAGTAGCCTCAGTACGGTTAAGACCTACGCTGCAGCCATCTCCTGTCACGAAGGGTTTGGTGACAGGACTGTGTTTATTCAACTGTTGGTGAAGCGTTTCTGAAGAGGGTGCAGAGACACAGACCGGTGTCACGGCCTGTCGCTCCACAGTGGGATTTGGCTGCCCTCTCTGTGGCCCCGTAGCGTCTCATGGCGCTTTCAGACCAAAAGCGAAGTGAGCGTTTGGGGCGGTGAGTTTACATACAAAATCAGTGACTTTTTGTCATGTGTTTTTGTTGTATGGCCACTAGAGGTCACTGCCACAATAAACAGAAACATGAACCATAATGTTGTGTGGCTAAAACCCATACGGCCGTTTTTCTGTGTAGGACAGGCTCAAAAATAGACTACCTATTTAAAATGCAATGTAATGGGCTATAGGAGAATTCCAGCACTTCATCATTCATTTGGGAAATTCCAATGCTGAATGAGCTACACTGAGTAAAATGTAATATTGTTAACGTATTCCTTCACTCATGCGTTCTAAGATAAATATCATGGTCCGCAGTGGCAACTTTTCATATTTATAGCGCCACCCGATTAAAATGAAGGCTCTGCTCTTTATTTACCACTAGCCATGGTGAATGGCAATGGGTAAATAAAGCGCTTCCATCAGTTTCAACATACTCAGTTGACTGAACTAATTCTAATCAGCTGTTCTGGAACGCAGAGTTTCCCATCTCAAGCTCAGTTAACTCAGGGATAAGCTCAGGAAAAGCTAGGCTTGACCTAGTGTGATAAGTGCATCCTGGCTTTATCAGTTTCACAAAGGCCAAACCAGGCTCAGGACTGTCAAGCCAGTTATAAGTAATTCAAATAAATGTTTGTAACGTCATATATGACGGTTAAGAGCAGCGATATTTTTAGCAACTTACACATTAAGTCGGTCCACTTGTCTGCCGCACTTTTTGTTCGCTGTTTTATTAATATGCCCGTGTTACTTTTTATTCCACGTAAACCTCCTTGCTGTTGCTCACTGTGTGTAAAGTATGGTGCACGCGTCTTCTTTTCAAATTATGAAACCTAATAACCACAAACTATGTGCTATATACCATATTGCCAAAATGTAGTATTTTAATGCAGGCTAAGGAAAATGATCTTCGTGACCGCTGACTGAACAGATAAGGCACCAGGATTAACCAAGCCTGGCTGTTAGCCTGGTCTAGAGCAGGCTAGCTGAACAGAATAAATCACCATGGTAACTTATGTGCTACTACTTTCATGAAAACAAGTCATGGCTTAATTCAACCAGAATATCTGGAAAATCCAGGCTTAATCCGCTATCTTGGTTTTGTAAAACAGCCCTCAGGTCGTAATGGAAGCTAACATCAACAGGATAAAACGTGTCGGCATCAGTGTCATTTACACTGGGGTCGCTGGGGACATGTCCACATCACCTTGAGGAAGGTTTATTTGAACTTAGTTATTTATTTATTTAACGTAGCCAAGATAAAACAAGCTACTAATTAGAAAATTACACAAAAACGTGCATGCACCAGTCAGTAACTCTAACAACTTCTTGACACAGTTGCATTTTGGCCAAGTTTTCCGTTCTCTGCCTGTGAACATGACAAAACAAGAGGGAAGACTAAATCATGCCTGCATGTGTGCGGACCCAGCAGGGATGATGTTAAACGAGAAAAGTTGATCTATAGGAGAAACCTATCTGAAAGCAACACAGAATGAGAGCCTTACTGCTTTATAGTCTGTAATATTTTTTATATTTGGAATTGTCACCTGCCACCTGAATTTCCCTTTACATAAATAAAAACACTTCCACCATAAAGTGATGTAGGAAATTCACCAGAATGCAGGAAATGAAATGTTTGCTTGAAATTGTATAGGGGAGGACCCCAAGAACCTCCAACTAGGCCTAATATATTTCAGCATTGATGATTTCTATAATGTAATGTTAAAATATCGTCACATCTTGACAGCAATATGGTGCATCGCCACATCTCGTAAGCTATCGTCACACCTCTAATATGAGGTCATGTCTCTACCACTTTTCAACACAAAATAACGCCCTTGCATGTTGATATCTATCTGTTGTTGTAGTAGTCAAATGCATGTTATCTCATCATGTAAGCTTAAAACAGACCTCTCTTACATTTTTTACCCATGACCAGTTTGCATGGCTGTTTTTGAAAATAATAAGATTGCCTTATTAGGCCTTTGCAACTGAAACACATGCATGTTTGTTAGGAAGGTTTGTGGTTTGTGTTCATAGATGCAGAAAATTTATCTTGAGCAAGTCAACCAAAGGCATTAGCATACAAGACAGAGACTGAAAACTAGACACCAACTCTATTTTGTGTCCCTAAAAGTTATGCTGTCCTTTGAGCAGATCAAACAGTGAAGGGTAAGTGTGTTTATGACTGTCGCCAGATGACAGAATATGATCATCATCATCAATGACTTAAAGATGCTCTCCATCAGCTGTGGAGTACAGGGATCTGGTTGACCGCTTTGTGTAGAGGTGTGGGAGCAACCACCTCCGTCTACACATGACAAAGACAAAGAAGAAGGCGGTGGACTTTAGGAGGACCAGGACAACAACACTGAACAACATTCACCATCTGGGAGAGGAGGTAGAGATGGTGGAGAACTTCAAATACCTGGGTGTACACCTTGACAAAAGACTGGACTGTAAATACAACTCTGAGGCTGTCTTCAAGAAGGGCCAGAGCAGACTCTACTTCTTGAGGAAGCTTAGGTCCTTTAATGTATCCAGCAGGATGTTGTATCAGTCTGTTGTCAAAAGGGCAATTTTCTTTGCAGCCATCTGCTGGGGCAGCAGCATCAGAGCCAGTGACAGCAAGAGATTGAACAAGCTAATAAAGAAGGCTGTCTCTGTGCTGGGGTCTGCTCTGGAGACCCTGGAGATGGTTATGGAGAGAAGAATGCTACACAAACGGTTTAACATCATGGACAACACTTCACATCCACTGCACACCCTGCTGGTCGGGCAGCAGAGTGCATTCAGCTGGAGACTCATTACAGAAAGTCATTCCTACCCACTGCCATTAAAATACACAACAACTCTCCTCTGTGCAGGGAGAGGAGACTGAAAGACATGTGAATGACATTTCACTACAGTTAATGCAAGTGATGCATCCTGAATATGTGCACAGTTGCACTTGTGTATACATCTCAGTTTTGTAAATATACGTTGTAAATATTTACGTACGTAAATTTTGCACAATATGTAAGTTGTGTGAATATGTCTGGTCTGTACATTTTTGTAATGTGTCAATTTTACTGCTGCAACACTGCACTTTCCCTCGGGATCAATAAAGTTCTATCTATCTAGCTATCTATCTAAAAGATGTGAACACATCACAGCCTTGTCTCTAGTCCACCACTTAAAGAGTTAATCTTTCACCTGCTTATTCCTGGCTATTAATAACCTAAACTTTCCCAACTCATTTTCCTTTTTTACTTTTTATTGGAGGTAGAAATGATTGTTCGACTGTCTGTGTGTTAATGTTTGCAGAGCAGAAGCAAATGTGACCTACTCTGTGTTTGCACTCATTGTCACATTCTTCTTTACTCAGCCCTTCAGACATAATGTACACATGTTTTCCAGATCTGGTTAATATTTACCTTTTAAATGACAGAACGAAAGAAGTAGGCTACAGTGAAAAACAAGAAACATGACGTAAAGGGCTGCTTGACCATAAATGAATTACTGAGCAAGTCCTCCTCCTCTAGGGATCTATAAAGGGAAGTCACTGAAGCTGCTGTTTCAGTCTGTGCGACGCACCCAATGCATTCCTCTACACTCTGGTTTTATAAATTCAATGCCCGGGGGTGAACTCCTGAGGAGCGGATGAAGAAACTAATTTTGCTTTTATTCACATTCAGAGGACTAGTAAGCAAAGGGAAAAAGAGAAAATGGACAGTTTTAAATTACGGAAAGCTGAACCCAACGATGTGTCTGATATCCTGCGACTCATAAAGGTAAGCCAAATGTTAACGCCTCATATTTTAACAACCAACAGAATATTTGGGCCATTTGATAGAAATCTTATTATCTATGTTGATTAATTGTAGTTCCAGTTAAAGTTTCTTGTTTCCTTTTAGGAACTTGCTAAATTTGAAGAGATGGAGGAGAAGGTCATGCTGACAGAGAAAGGTGCTTTAGTTTATGTTGAACTAAAAGCATACAATTTTAAACATATGCAGTATTTACCTGGACTGTCAAAAAAAAAATTCCGGTCTTACAAAATCAATCTCCCACTTGTAGAGCTACTTGAAGACGGCTTTGGGGATCATCCATTCTACCACTGCTTAGTTGCTGAGGTCCCAAAAGAGCAGAGCTCAGAAGGTAAAAACATGCCTCCAACACAATTTAAGAGTCATATTTCTTAACAAATATAGGCTTAAACTTTCAATTCAACCCTTGATTCGTGGCGCTTTCTTCTAGGATACACTGTGGTTGCCTTTGCCATGTATTACTTCACATATGACCCTTGGATTGGAAAGCTTCTATACTTGGAGGACTTCTTCGTCATGCAGGAATTTCGTGGTAAGGCTGTTAAGAAGTACTGTTATATAATGGTGGTAAAGGTTAATGAGTTACAGTTTTGAAGGGCAATTAAAGATCAGTTTTAACTGAACTGTGTACATTTATCTTTCACCAGGTCTTGGCATTGGTTCAAAAATCCTGAAGGTTCTGAGTGAGGTATATGATCATGAAGCTCCTTTGGTGACACATTAAACTTAATTTCAACTATATTCTATACTTAATATGTCCTTGTGTGTAATGTTTTGTTTTTTCTTTCCCCAGACTGCAGTGAAGACTCGCTGTAGCAGCATGCACTTCATTGTAGCAGAAAACAACACAAAGTCTATTGAGTTCTACAAGCGGAGAGGAGCAGCTGATCTCTCCTCTGAGGAGGGCTGGCGTCTTTTTGAGATTGAAAAGAGGGATCTACTGAAAATGACTGCCAAATAGAGTTTACTGTCACTTGTACTGCCTGTTGGTGATAACAATAATCATGTTTTGTTTGATCAGTGATTTGACACAGTTTTAATAAACACATTTAAAAATCAACTTTTACCTTTGATAATAAACACTGCTAATTTCAGTTACATTTAGAAAGACCTCTACTGATTAGTGAATGAACACTGAGGTTTGGGAATATCAATGCTAATTGTACTGCTGGCTGATAATGTTTCATTTGAATATTTTTGGAGGCCTGTAAAGGTAAATTATGACCCTTTGTTGGGCCCTGACCCCCAGGTTGAGTACACTTGAATAATTATTTGCAGAAGGAGTGTTTGTTTATTGTTGTTTTTTACTGCCATTGCAATAAATCCACACAGTTTGAAATAACCTCTGATTTAAAGGTCATACAGGAGAAAACATTTAGGTGTATTATTACAAATACAAAGTTAAAAGACAATGTTTGTGAGACAGAAGCTTAGAATCAGTGGTGGAAGTTTTCAGATCCTTTAATTAAGGAAAAGTCGCGTAAAATATTATCCATTACAAATAAAAGTCCTGTAATAAAAAACACTGCTTATGGTAAAGGAAAGAAATATGATCACCAAAATGTAGCCAATTAAAAGTATCATAAGTCAAATAAGTAGAATTTTTAGTTCCAGTAAAAATTCTAGTTTTAAGTAACAAATGTATTGTGTGTTAAAGACTCATAATCGCGTTTCAGGTAATAACTAAGTTGTAAACAGTCAGAAACATGTAGTTTCCCTCTGAAATGTAGAATGGAAATACTCAAGCGAAGTACAAGTTCATCAAATTTGTACAAAAAGTAAAATGTATTAAAAAATTGTATTTCAAATACAGTTGATGGGTAAATGTGGGATATTTTCTAACTTATACTTCTGCCTACATCAAAAAGAATGGTGTCCAAACACTACTGTCTCACTACATTTAGTAATTAACTTAAAAAATTCAAAAGTCATTTCTTATTTTTGACCAGCAGCAAATCTGGCAAACTTAAACTAAGCCAAAGGAGCTGAGGTTGTTGTGAGGAAACAATTGGGTTCATACACTCAAGAGTGAAACTGATCCAGTGTTAGGGTGTTTCGCTGGAAACTAGTCAGCGGTTTGTTTAAATGTCGGATGCTCTCCGCCTTCAGGTCATGGTTTAATCACATTTTATTGTCCACCTCACTGCCTCGTAGGTGTCTGCTTGTTTGGCGAAGTGAAGCAGTCGTCAGCCCATTACTAGGCTCGCCAACCTCGGGGCACACACTAATTAAAATGAACACCACACTGCACGTTTTCACATAACCCGTCTGCACAGCGGTCCTCAGATTATGGCCTGTTTGGTGCCTGCCGGTGTGATTTCCACCACAACCCTTCCGCATTTTCCTGCTGCTCTCGGGCTGTGACGTGTCGTGCTGACGGCGGCCTCGGAGCTGGAGGAGCGGGGGGCTGTAGCATGACAAGATCTGGCTCCAGAAGTCCTGCTTTGCTTTCACCAGATATCCAGAAACAACCCCTAACCCCTCCTTCTCTGCTCCTCTCCGGCCCGCCCAAATAACACAAAATTCCCGACTGAATCCTGCCCGAGTCTGGGGGAACCAGGCGGCCTGGGAAGCCGAGGAGCGGACAGAGGCCATCCCTGCAGCATACATCTGGTACGCGGGTCATTTTCGCTCTTGGGGCGCCCGTTTGCAGAGCTATGTTTGCATTTGTGCGTGTCCGTGTGTCTTTGTTTTTGCGTGCATGTGGTATTTTAATTAATTTCTTTATTCTCACCGAGAGGCCGCAAAAGGGTTGGGCCTTTTCTTCTCAGGCCCAGGCCTCTATAGAGGCCGTAACTGTTAACGTTAATTCAGGCCTATCCGGTTAGCTAGCTAGCCTGCTGAAAGGAGCGGGGTTTTTGTATTCGCCAGTCGTCGCTGGCTAACTTGTAATTTGTAATTTACTGTATCATTCACTATACAGCAACATTATAGCCTTCAACAGAAGCGCGATAAGCATTTTCTCATCGCAGAAGGGTATTTTCAATAAATGTTAAAATTAGCATTCGTCCAGACACCAAGCTAACAAAATGGCGGACGCTGGTGTGATGAAAATCGGTTGTAGAAAATGAGTGTGTGTTGAGCCTCCTCCAGCTATCTGGCTACTAGAAAGCCACACCAGTGCACACCTAACGCAACCTCCCCTCTTTATTTTGTAGTTTTATCTTAGTGCATGTTTGTTGGTGCAGTCGGCTGTTTCTGAATGCCTGTGTTAGCCGTGACAGTCGGACTGTAATGCGAGTGTAATCAGTGCTAACGTACTCCAGTGGTCAGTCGAAGACATTAACGGTATGGTTAATCATGTCTTCGGGGTTCACGCTGAATGAGTGGCTAAGTTAGTACGACGGCAGGTTTTAATGTATTAGCGGCATCTTTCAGCACAGTGATGCACCTTGTTGTGCGCCACATCTCCACACCGTTGTCATCGTTTTCCACCTGGAGGTGGGGGATGGTAACGTTACACTGGGTGGAAATTAAATGGCACCCCGGCTGCATCGTCCACACCACTGTTTACATCTCTGCATCCCCCTGTGTGTATCAGTGTTTGTGTGTGGGTGGGGGGTTGTTGTTGCACAGTATCTCATCTCCATCATCCAAGGTAGTGCCGATTGGTCTGAAATGTTTGTTTTAATTTTGAAGTGGGGATGCAGTCGTGGTCATTATGCCACCGGTCATTACACTTGCTGTCTTCTGCCGCAGCCACAAGCTAACACTGCAGAAATCTATCATCTTAATAATAATTTAATCGATTATCTAGTTGTTTCCTCCGTTAAATTTACTCAAGTTGCCAGTTTAAAAAAAATAGCACGTGAACTTATGGAGTGTGTGTGTGTGTGTGTGTGTGTGTGTGTGTGTGTGTGTAAATATGCGTTTGTGAATAAAATGTCAAAACAAATTAAGCTCTCCAAAGAGAAACTTATTAATTGCAGCAGCAGGTTACAAGAATGCACAAACTAAGATTAATATAAAATCGTAATATTGTGTTTATTATACAAGTAAATATCTTATTGGGGCAGGATATTATTTGAAAAGGTTTAATCCTTTTGCTGATTTAATGAATAAGTTTTGTACAAATTAACAATTAATACTTTGAATAGGTGCTTGACAGTTTTCGGTGTACTGTGAGTTAAATACACGTTGGTTGCTTCCAAAAAAGTACGGAGGTTTGAAGCCCAGCCCTGTTTCTAGTAGAAAATATGAAGTTTACTCAGTATTTAGAATTTCAAACCCACTGAAACCAATCCATAATAGTGTTTATGGCAAAATGACATAACGGAGCGATAAGTATTCAGGCTGCAGTAGTTGTGTAACATCAGGCCAGTGGTCTCTCCATCATGTGAATCACATAATGTTGAATGAACAGCACACTCGCACCATGTTTTTGTTTTTTTCAACAAGCAAAGGATGACAAGCTCATTGTGGCGTTTGATGGGCACATCTGGAAAAGAAATTACAAATAAAGGTTAACAATCAGTGTTATAATCCCATTTGACGCTCTGCATCATCTGGTTTTCTGTTATAAAACTGTTTAGGTCACATTATGACCATGAACACAAACAGGATTTTTGCTTGAGTGGGTGCAGATTCAGTTGCTTGAGGTTCAGAGTTCTAGCACACACAGCACAAGGAAAATGACCGTTGTCAACACACATCATTGTATATTATGCAATTAATCTGAGAAAATGCACTTGGGTGACCTGCAGTATATTAATCCTTTTATACGACATAAGCATCATACTGAAAAATATGATCATACATGCGTAATAATAATCTCAGAGAATGTAATGATGGACAGATTTGTTATTTTGGTGAGTAACAGTATGATAATGAATAACTTATCAGTCATGGAGATTGCAGGGATTTGCATAGTTCTCCTGTTTAGCTTTGTCTCCGAAAGTTTTGGTCACTAAAGATCTGAGCTTTCTGTCTTTTGCTTTCAGCTCTCCAGTAACAAATGCAGTGCGAGGACAATGGATGAGGATGTCACCAGGCTTGCAATACATTCTGAAGAGCCTAAAATAATACTCCACGGATCGGGTAATTTGTTATTGTACACAAAGTATGTTTGTGGGTGTGTGTGTGTGAGTGAGCTCTGATAAACGTGCTAGCATTGGGGTATTTCAAGAAACAGGAATATTTGATTAGCCTGATAACACATCATATAAATTTAACGTCATAAGTCAAGTGTTGAAGGAGATGTTATATTATGGCTGTTGATATTATTATAGTTGCATGATGTTGGTAAGAAATCAGTAACATTTAAAAACTGTGCCATTTAAAACTTCCACACACAGTAAACCATTACTATTGACTGATTTCTGCTTAACTGGATAATCCTGCTTCTTGTAGATGAGGGTGGTGCTGGCGGGCAGGAATTTGTTGTGGAGCTTCAAGAGACTGTGTTGGTGTCCGAAGGCGAGGGGGAAGGCATGGCAGTTCACAGGTTTGCCCCAGACGAGCTAGTCATCCAGGATGCTGTTGAGGATGTGGTTTCTGAGTATGTGCACTGCGATGAAGACGAAGATGTCGCTGTGGAAACGTGCGTGATGGCTCTGGAGGGCGAGGAGGAAGGTGTTGCCATGGGAGACATCCCTGAAGATGGGCTGGACTCAGAGCAGCAGGAGGACGACCAAGATGGCTGCGGAGATTATCTTATGATATCCTGTAAGTTTACTGCTCTGCTGTGCTGAGATTGGGTTTAAATGTGCCATATTTCCTCTGGAAAGTATACTTAAACCTTATTTACACAACTTCAGGCGTCTTATGCAGATTGTATCTTATCCACAAAAAAGTATAAATGCATAAAAAAGCACAGAAATACAATTGTTCAAACTACCTTGGGGGTTGCAAATAGCAGCTCATTGTCTGATTTCCTTAATACATCCATGATCTGTCTCCTCTGTCCTGATAAGAGCAGCTAAAGTTACACTGAAATTAACCAATTCATTCCTGTGTTTGTGTTAAGTTATGAATAGATGTTAGGAAATGCTTGCTCAACTATTGTTCAAACTAAACTGCTAAGTGCAGACATTATCCTTATTCTGGTGTTTTTGGCAGTTTC